AATCCTGACCACGTCGCTCAGGGGTCTACTACGCAGTACGATGACTGTCTTTATGGCTTTATTCGTCTTTCTTACTCATACCAAGATGCTGTAAGAGCGAAAGCAACAGATAGGTATAGTAGATAGTACAAAGATCGTGTTGCGGAGTGGGACCTCAGTCCACTGGCCCGCTTGGCCGCTCGCCAGCGCTGGAGGTGAGTTGGAACTCTGAAGGCCGAGGGCATCTAAGAGCATTCATAACGTATTATTCGTTCTAAGCCTTTGTTTAGAATTTGTCACTTCTACACGGTTAAGCATTGCCAGTCCATTCAAGTCATCTTCTTGATTTTTATAATCCCATTGTTAAACTTGGTAATATTTTGTGAATGCAGCAACCGTTGCCACCAGATATGGGTAGGTTCTGGGTAGGCCTTTTACCAGCGGCACAGTAAGTATAATAACTTTATCATGGAGGAAAAAAATGTGTAAGAACATCATAATAATTGAAGAAGTGTATGAAACCGATCATAATGTCTATTGGATAATAGTAATAAAACAAAACTTGCAATAGTCGTGTGGGTCTCTCCGTGGTAGCTTTGCTTTGTAAGTGGGACATGTACATGACACAGCTCTCATCCAAGAGTATGTCGTGGTTTTTGAGAATGATTTAAACAGTAGGGACAATAATTGTGCTTTATTTAGTTAACTGTATACCTAGATACTCGTATCTCAATCAAGTCGTTGCTAAAACGCGACGTCAAAATAATTCAGTTATTTGTCTAGCTAATTAATTTTAAGAATCTCTTTTAATGATTTAATTACACAATAATTTCATGAAGGCCTTAATGTTTTTAAAGGCAGATGCAATCGTAAAACAATAGGCATAAATCATGATACTCTCGTTTACGAAGCATCCAAGATTTTCCATAACTTTATCTCAAGGCTTACCTTCTTTAATTGCCTTCCCAAATTCCTTTATTATTTTTTCGGCATCCCTTCTGCGCTGTCTTTTAATTAAAAAATGTAAATGCAAGAGTCACGAACGTCGGCTAGTCAAAAAAGTTAATTGCTCAATAAAACCCCGCCGGTCACATTCCGTACTATATAGTACGAGTATAGTGGGTACTGTAATAAAAGCAGTTTCTCTTAACAAAATCGGCGCTAGACGCTAGTACGGTACACGGAATGAGATTAGCCGCGGCCCTCCCCGCGCCTCACCTCACCCGCTTATTGGACACGGAATTAAATCTGCGGCGAATATTCTTAGTAACGAAGCGCGCTGCTACGGTGCGCGGTGCTACGATAATTCACAACTGCTACGACGCTGCTCAGTGCTACGGAATGATCATTTTGTTTACTTATTCAAAGCGTGTGCGGACGACGGAACATCGAGCTTACACTGTGACTTTATTACTACTTATGTAATTAAGGACTTACCTACCAATGGACCGACGATCATGTGACGGTCGCGGGAGGTGCCTGGATGCGAGCGGCGCAGAACCGGTCTTTGTGGAAATCTTTGGGAGAGGCCTTTGACCAACACTGGACGTCTTTTGGCTGAAACGAACAAACGAACTACCATCAATATTTATTTTTTTTAAACTAGAGCATCGGTCCGCCAATATCAATTAACTCGATTAATCTTTTTTAGAAACATATTGTAACAAAATAAATGTAAACTATGAGCAGTTTAACGAGTGAAGTTAATAAACACCAACTAGCGTTAGCTGTAACATACAAGCGGGCTTTGTACAATTACGATATTGAACTGTTAGGATTTCGAACAAAGGATGGTGAAAATTGAAAATTGTTGGTAGAATTTCCCAAAATATATTAACATTATATGGACATTCAGTGTTTGAAACTACACCGCAGCTGTCTCGTTCAAGCGGCTTAGGTCAAAATAGTCTGCAAATACATAAATAGTATACTTCATCTATACAGATGCAGAATGAATCATCATCATTTCAGCCACAGGACGTCCACTGCTGAACATAGGCCTCCCCCAATGACTTCCACATCGCACGGTTGGTAGCGGCCTGCATCCAGCGCCTTCCCGCTACCTTTATCAGGTCATCGGTCCACCTTGTGGGTGGACATCCCACGCTGCGTTTTCCGGTACGTGGCCTCCATTCCAGAACCTTGCTGCCCCATCGGCCGTCAGTTCTGCGTACTATGTGCCCAGCCCACTGCCACTTCAGCTTGCTGATCCGTCGGGCTATGTCAGCGACTTTAGTTCGTTTACGGATCTCCTCATTTCTGATTCGATCTCGTAAAGAAACACCGAGCATAGCCCTCTCCATAGCACGCTGTGCAACTTTGCAGAATGAATTATTAATATGAAAGGGTAAGATCCTGGTTAAAGTATATTTTTAGTGGAAAGGAAGAAGCAGCTCTAACAACCATCTCATAAAGTACCGATATCCTGGTATTCCAATAAAAGCATAAAAATGAGCTAGTTTTATATCATTTCTAACCTGACAGTGGTTTATAAGGCGAGGCCTGAATATAAAGTTGTTTGGTTTTTAAAGGAGTCTTTGAATAAAAAATGTTGAGAAACTCTGGTTTAGAGCTTTAGGGTACTAGCCGCAGAATATTAGCCGCACTATAATAAATAATTAATAAATCGCAAAGTAATTAGCTAACAAAACGATATCTACCACTAACCCTAAGCTCAAAGCCTTTATAATAATAATCCCGTGCTTCAGAATATTAAGCAGTACCAGGTATTAGCTCATTTTAGCTCAGGGCGTTGTATCAGCCGATGAATTACAGCATAGATAATTAGAAGCTGCGAGCTTTAGACGGAATTAAGCTCTTATTAACTAGCTAGTTTGTTACAGGTATTTGCTATCAATGTTTTTCAGCTTTTGCGTAGAATTTAAAGTTAAATATAAAAATATTTACTCAATCAATCATGACCTTTTCCACCATTTGCTGGCAATAGAAAATCAGAAACTTGTACGTTAGATAAACTATAACTTTTAGTTTAACAGGTCTCGGATAAAGACTGGTAGATAAGTCGTTATTACAAAAAAAAAACATACGGGTCGAATTGAGAACCTCCTCCTTTTTTTGAAGTCGGTTGAAAAGTAACTTTTTTTTTCAGGTCCATAATATATCATTATGTATTTGACACAAAATTAAAAACTGGAACCAGACAGTCGTAAAGCGTTCTGTGTTCCAGTTATACAATTTCCAAAGGGCGTATTTAGGCTTCAACAATAATATTTAATTTGCTGACCGAGTTGAGACTTTGAGAGTCCAATGGTTGAAGGTGTAATTAATTAATGTTTTATTTAAGCCTCTCTTCTCTTTGCTAATAATCGATCACACATTTTTAACATGGCACTTTATTTACAGGAATAAGAAAGAAAAGTGATTTTCACGATGTTAGTTTTCCAAAAAGTCTAATTGACAAACCTTTTAAAGCTGGAGTGTAATCCACAATAGCTTTACTTTATTAACCTACCACAACATCGATTATTTGCTGGTTCTTAATATTTCATTCACAGAACCCAGAAATCATAATATAACTTTTCATATTAATTTGACTTAAAATAAATACACCAAAAGTTGATAAATTAAAAGGATTAATTATATTTCTGTATGCGTTGCATTTCTACATAATATTTTACGAGTATGACTATTATACTTTAATTGTGTAACGTGATCACTTAAAATGATAATAATTTAATCCATTTTAACAATGAAATGTCGACGAGAAATATATTAACTTAATATTTAATATGACTGAGGTCTTTTTTGATTCGTAGTTAACATTCAATAAAAAAAATTAAGTGTTTTAAATATCCGTGAAATAACGTGTTTTTCTAAACAATGGTTAGCTTTTTAAATTTATGAAAATTAACGGATAAAATAACAAACTGGCCCTAATGCAATCGTCTAAGTATACCCAACCGAAAAGTCTTCTTTCAGTTCAACTCAAAGCTAAAAAGGTACCGACCCTAGCTTTTGACAAATTACGGAATCATTCGGTCTTGTAATTTATCTATTTTAAATCTTCTATAAGTGACATCAAACGGGCAGGACTCCACACAGTCGCGCGACAAATCCGGCGATTAGTCGGCAGTGGAGCCGTGGCATTTTATAACAGCTCAAATAGAAAAGTATTGACTTTGTAAAATTGATATCGCCTGCTGTTTTCACTGGTCACAGCGAAAAATTAATGAAAATTTATGTTGAATGTGCATTATGTGCAATCACTAAAATAATCCTTTTTATTTGAAATGCAAAGCATGTTAGTTGCTTTACTAATATTGAGACTCAGGAGGATTTGATGAGTGCTACTGACAACGCCACTCTTGTGGCGGAGTTTTGGGCTGACACTGTGTAGGTTTGTTGTCGACACGAAAAGAAGAAGAATACCTAATTTGGGATTGTGTAAATAAAGACGTTCATAGACGTTCTATTTTATGTTTGCGTTTTTTTTTACAGAATTATAACATGAATAGCACTACAAATATTAAATTAATATCAGTCATGACATTCTAATTTCAGTTGCATTTTTTACCTACCTGTGCTAAAACGGGCAACCATTATAACAATGAGTTGTCTGTTCTTCTACAGCTACTGATTAGTTCTAAATATACGTAAAATAAAATTAACCCATTTAGACCNGGCAAAAATTATGGAACTTGATAGGTTTTAGACCATGCCACGCACCAAAACGTCCGGAAGTTGTAATAGTATTATAGAATAAACGTTAAAAGACTTATTTATTTAATTTTTCAATGCTTAAGTGTCCATTAGAATGAAAGGGTGCTTAATGTATTAAAAAAAATAGAAAATAATTATGATGGGTTAATGTTTTTGGGCGGTTTTTTAGGCGGTTTCTGACAATGTCCTTTATAATTTATGCGGTTGGAAGCTTGGAAGCATATTTCTTTGTGTTTTCTTAGCTTTTGTATTTTTAAATATTTTTTGCATTATTTGTGTAATTTCTTAATGTTATAAATGTTTCTGTCTTTCTTTCTAAAGCTAATTTTTTTTTCTTCCAGGAAATCCCAGAGAATGGAGCAGACGTGGCTCACTTGAACGCGGTTCATTCCCCATCAGTGGTCACTGGGCTGGCGGAGAAATATCCCTTCCTTCTTAATATTATTGGTAAGCAATAAAGTAAGCGCTACTTAGTTAGGTTTTAAACCTTTGTTTGTCATCTGTCATTCATCCACTTTGCAATGGAGGGAAGTCGAACCTTAATTTCGAACTCTTCCTATGTTCTTCTGATTAATTTCGTTGCGGATACAATGACAGTATCTTTCCCCCGGAACAAACTTGACCTTTACTGGTTGTGTTATTGGCGGTCAAGCTGTAGATCCTGGCTACACAGGAGTTGCAGTGGTGGGAACGAGAGGTGGGAATAGTTCCGTTTAGGCAAAGTCATTTACGACATATTTAATTCCAAATCGTAAATAGATAGGTACTTATAAAAAACGCGGAACGAATCGATTTCGGTATTAGTTAAAACTGTCACAAATGTCACTTTACGTTTGTTTGCATTACTGTGACAACAGATGGCGTTGTACGCTTTTGACACGCGGTATCATAATCTGCTCTTTTCATACTTTTACATACTTACTACTACAGATATAGCGCATACTGAGTCAGTGCCTGAAATATGGGAGCGGCATATTTGATTTTATGTCAACATGTCTCTTTTCTTATGTCAAATGACCTCCCGGCCCTCATAAAGCATAGGTACTTATGGAAATCATTGGGGGAGGCCTATGTTCAGCAGTGGACGTCCTGTGACCGAAATGATGATGATGATGTCTCTTTTTCAGGAAGCCACGTCTGGTCGGCCACCTGGAATAAGGGAGAAGGCCACATCGCCGACCTGACCCTCACCCATGACTATAAAATTATGAAGTGCAACCTCTTTCATATAGATGTCACTGTACAACAGGTGAGTGAAATCTACCGTTTTTACTCGACAAATGGCAACACACAAGCCGTGTAAGCCAACAAAAGGAAAAAAAACTATATTTGTTTTTTTTTGGCGGGAAAGTGAAGTGTCACTTTTTTGACAGTTTATTTTATTTTAAAGCAATCGCCCAGCAAGCGAAAGGCCGTGGGTTCAAGTACCATCTAGTATGGCAATCGATTTTTTCAAATTAAATTCTAGTAAATTAATTATTACTTAGTTTTTTTTTACTTATACAAAATTGTGCCTAGTGCAGGTATTATTTATTAATGCATGTTTAACCAATAAAGTTTTAGTGAAAGTACATGAGTGTAGGCAAAGAAAACAGTTTCTTTGGTTTAGTTTAGTAACCATTTACTATTTCAAGATAGGTACCTACAAGTTCTTAAAAACCCGTCATTTTAGTCCTGAAAACGAGTTAATTTTGATTTTCATTAGCTGGAAACCCATTGGCCATTGCCAAAGCGCCTTTTGACATTATATCATTTGTTTATTGTGTCTAAGTACGTGGTTTCCACTCTATTTTGTTTGAAATTGCAATTCCCTTTCAGATAGGCCCAGGCTTCGTCCGCCTGTTCCTCAAGACTCCCCTCGGGCCTTTACTGGTCTCCCAGTCGGTGACGCCACTTGGCCCTCTCCTCCAGAAGGTGATTCATAGAGTCTTCTCACCTGCGTACAACGCACCGTGGGCCGCGCTCGTGGTGTATAATGAAGCGTACATGGTAAGTTAGATTGACTATGGTTTGACCGTTGTATGTTTTTATTATGTTTAACACGAATAATTTCAATATTGAGCTTTCGGTGAGGTAAAATGTGCGTTTAATGAAACTATACCCAAATGAGTAACCAAGGACTAAAATCGATAGGTACTTTGGCCATACATGTGGACCTTTCCTTAAAAAACTGACGACAAAAAGTGCAGTACCTCAAGCATAAACGACTTTCGTCTTCGAATCGTTTGCGTTTTCGACAAAATTCGATACTAAACCTTCGAATTAAACGATAACGTGACAATTTTGATTCTCAAAATAAGTTTCGTGCAACCATTTCTCATTTTACGATCACTTTACGACACATTCACAAGGGCGCTGTTGTAGTTTTCGTACTAAATCTTTTGATGGCGGTTCGAATACGCAAACGAATCGAACTCGAAAGTTTTTCATGCTAGCCGTACAGAAGTAGGTAATGTAGAAAAATAAGCGTTAAGTAGGTGTTTATTAAATTGGGACAGTAAAATTTGTATTTACCTCTTAAGTTGGTAAAATTAAATGCTGCCCACACGTAGGTATTTGACGGCAAAGTTTTTGCCTGGAATTCGTTGCCAGCTGCTGTCTTTCCCGAAGACTATTAATCCGGGCCTTTTCTAGGCGAGAGTGAATATGCCTATTCACTCTCGCCTAGAAAAGGCCCTTACAGGGCAGATACTTATTTACCATCCTAGACTGCATCCCATTTAACATCAGGTGCGATTGTGGTCAAATACCTGCCTTGTTATGCATTAAAAAAAATCTTAACGGTTTTGTATGGTTAAGATTAACTCATACAACTTTTTTCAGTTCGAAAGAGACGTGGCGATTTGGAACAACAAAATCTTCGTGGGGGCTCCGGCGTACGTCAAAGCTGACAAGACCATCAGAGCCTTCAGGTCCTGGTTCTCCCAGTTCTACAGCGAGAACAGCAAGAGCTTCAAGGACGCGATACAGAACCCTCTGGAGTGGTGATAAGGTTCAGACTTGAATAATGAATGAAATTCTTATTGGTTTATCCATTTGCATAGGTAAAATTTTTAGTCATAATTTATCTTGGCATAATGACACGCATTGAGTGTAAAAAATAAAAAGGCGGCTTTAACCTATTTTAACACTATAGTGCAAGTTACCTTGCTGCCCGATCGGCCGTCACTTCTGCGTACTATGTGTCCTGCCCATTGCCACTTCAGCTTGCTAATCCGTTGGACAAAGACGGAAGTTTTATGATTTTATACTATTTTATGATCTCCAATTGTTATTGTTTTGTCTAAATTTTGTTCATAATAAATCAAACTAATCATATAAAGCAATATTTGGCGTAGAAACAGTGTTTTCTAATACATGACATGCTTCCGAACCTCGATGTTGCCTAGAAGCAACAGTGACAAACATCTAACAAAATAGGTTTAACTTTTTGTCAATACAAACGAGTGTCAATACCCAATAAATCAATCATGTATTACATGAATATGTTATAGAGATGGTATGGTAATTACTTTGGATGCAATTATGGACCCTGTCGGGCACAGCATTTTAGGAGAGAGGAAGAATTTGTTGTCTGTCTCTGTGTTGTCTGTCTTCACGCTTATAGATATCGCTGAACTGATTTAAATGATAAACACGTTTTTCTTGCGTTGAAGTCAACAACTATAGCATATAACGGTAACATACCAGTTTCAGAAACTAAAGAGAAAATAAAAAGCCAACCTTGGCTCGGCATATTGATCATGAAGTATGATGACATAAGGTAAGTGCCCCCTACTTCGGTATATTAAGGCTCTTACGACTTTAACATTTTATTTAAAAATAACCAAGCATGATATCAGTATGAAAGCTTTTGTATGCTAAACTTTGGTCTTTTGACAGTAACTTAATACATAAATTATAGTTATATAGTTTGAACTTTTTTTAATATTAATTATTCTGCGGACCTCTTGTTTGGATCCTGTTTCGTGATAAAATTTTGCTCGGATTCTAAGTTCGTGAACTCATGTCCCCTATTTCGGGATACGGTTTTATGCATCGAGTTAGGATATTTTAATAATGATTAAGGGTTTAATAAATTTAAAAACGATAATGTATTTTAGAATAAATGAATATTTATAATTTTCAAATTAGTTTGAGATGCGACTCTTAACGCTAAAAATTAAATAACTATGTAAAAAGAGCTGTTTCATCTTAACTGACAGTCAAATATTTGCAACAATATTTCTGTTAGATGTAGGGTAGGTATACTTAACATTGATGAAACAAACGCTGGCCGTAGCAGCGTATTACACTTGAAAATTTCGACGGGTTCATCCAGTGTCTAAGTAGCTCAGTTGGAAGAGCGTTCGCCCGGCAAGCGGAAGGTAGTGAGTTCAATTCCCGCCTTAGGCAGTTCGATTTTTTCAAGTTATTTATAATTTTCAAATTAGTTTGAGATGCGACTCTTAACGCTAAAAATTAAATAACTATAGAATAAATGAATTGTGTAAAATTGACGATATTACGTACCTGAAATATTTATGAGAAATATTGTGAGTCTAGCTAGGTACGTACCTACGTATAAAATTTGGATTCGTTAATTCTAACAATATGTGAAAATATTAGAAATGTGGGGTGACTTACCACCTTCCCCCCCATAAAAATTTGATTTGTTATTTCTGACGATAAGTGTATAAAAATAGTTATACAAGTCATAAGAAATGTGGGGGGGGGGGCTAACCCCCCCTTCCTCCTAATCCCACCCCTGGAGCTGCTTCAAGTGAGGGTAGCCCCCCCACCCCTGAAAATAACCCCAGATACGCCAATGACTCATAATAAAAAGTAAGTAATTAATTAATTTCTCAAGTAGGTAAGTATTAAAAACTAAAAAATATGTCGATGTCTTTGATGGTATGTGTCATAAAACTACCTAACACTATACATTTATATATCACGAACTTGGAAAAAAGTAACAATAATACGGTTTCTTGTTTCGTGATACTGATTATTCCAAATTCCCCAAGTAAAATTCATGGATTATTGTCAAATTGTGTCAATTAACTATTATCTATCTCATATACAATACAAATAAACAAATATAAATAAAACATATCAAGATAAAACCAAAATTACGTTGGTAGTACTTATGCTAATTTCTCTTAAAATAGGTCATTTATGTGAACTTCAAACTCGTGTCATGTAGATTCTAGTGAACGAAACATATACCGAATTTAGGTCATGAGAAACTTAAATAATTGTATTATTTGTTTCTCTGTGATACTAACCACATTTGGTTCTTTTTTCCTACCTTCTCCTAAGTTAGTGAGGATAGCTGAAGAAGACCTGGCTTCTTCTGATTTGTTACGTTTAGTGCTATGCATAATCGTATTTAGCAACACGATGATGGAAATTTAGCAAATCCATCGAAGAAAACTCTGAGGGTTATTATTTACATTGACACTATCTTTATCGCCTAAATCCTCGTCAATCTGATCATCATTAGCGGTCATCTGATAAGACAGCAGTAGAAAAATACCAAGACTGCTTTATGTTTGCTGAAATTATCAAAGTTTTCATGAGTTGTGGCAATATAGTGAAGCATCAATAGCCTAAAACAAATAAAAATAATAAATATTAATTATATTTTTTCGCATGACTTGCTCATGCATAGACCTACTGTACCTTATACGGTACACCTATTTTAGACTGGAATAAACCGTATAAAAATAATCTGAATAATATTTTTTTTTGTAGTCATGATATCTATTGTACTCTATTTTTAAAATAAAATTGATAAATAACATAATTTACCATGAGTAATAAGAAATTATACCTTCTTAAATACATTGTAAATATTTTTTTGGTTTTCTGTCGAGGAATTTCATAAATATTTCCGAAACCACTAGTTAAAACAGTTTTTAAAATATTTTTATGTAAAATGATCACTTTAAGCTTACCGTCACAATCGTTTTTACAAATTAACAACAGTTTGGTACTTCGAAATATTTTCAAAAAGATACCGTACCACATAGGGTACGGTAGGGCTAAATGGGTTAAGACTGTCCTTTGATCCGCTCATTAGTTACAGCCTCTTTACAATATTCCGGAATTAACCGAAGTATAAACCGCGGCTACAAGATGACGGAGTGTGTGGAATCGGACCGAGGTGCGCTTTATTTTTAGACACCCTTTGTGTGGGACGAGTGCATGGGAGAGGGAGCACCACTTTAAAAAACTTAAAATAAACATTTAAATACAAAGTTAATTTACTGATGTTATAGTATTAAATTAAAATATTTTAATTTAAGTTAAAATCTATGTAGAAAGAATAATAATAAAACATAATAGGGTTCTTGTATTTTAGTGGATCAACTTACCATCTTGGGTCATAATAATACGTCCATTAGGACACTGTTGATGCTCTATCATATTGATTTCCAAAGTGACAAGTTTCTGAAATCATCAACAGCCGATTTTGGGAATACCATCAATTTTAGTTCAAACTACAGACTCTATCGACACTGCAAAATTGATGTTAACAATTTAGAGGGATACTCGCATAACATAATGCGTATGCGAAGATTTTATAAATTTAAGTACAATAGATATAACAAAAATAGCCGCGGGTGATTCAATAATAGCTGACTTTACTGCAAACATTATAATTATTTATTATACAGAGGTTAATATTTTCTCAAATTACAGTGTCAATATTTTAAACTTTCGCGTTTTTCAACTAAAATAGTAAGTAAGTGTAACTCATTATAAACGTCGCGTTAAGACCTGTGTCTTACTATTTTAGTTGTTCAGTTAATAATTCTGTAGCTGAAAAACTTTAGCGTCAAGCAAGGTGTTCTCGCACATTTTACAATTCCTCGTCGATTCAAAAAAGAATTTCAAGTTTATTCTTCAAAATTTGGTTCTATTGCGCATAAACTCCGCCGTATAAACCTGTCAGCACTTGGATATATACATCGTTAGAATACATTCAGGGACACTCGGATGTCTTTATTTGAAATTTTATTTTCTACCTTTGTTTCCTTTAGAATGTTTAAAAATAAAATCACAAAGAAAAATTAGATTACATCTTGTAGGTTACTCGTTATGCCTATACGTATCCTGTTAAGGACTATTTTGGAGACATCTTATTTAGGAAGATTGTTATTATTAGATAGGGAAATAAAAAGAGCACTTTTAAAAACCTCTTAAAAATTATCATTTGCAAAACTATGAAAATCTAACTAAATTGTTCGAGCGGTTTGATCTACATACACTCGCGAGCAAAAGTATGGAATCACTTACATGAAGTTGTTTCCACGCGATCTTGTGTACTAACGATTTTGCTAGTAACAAAAAAAGTGACACCATTTTAAAGATTAAACTTTTAACTTTAAATTGATATTACTTATATCTTAGACAAGTGTCCACTTGCTAACAGCTATCCTACGAACATTTCTGAGCTCTTACTGGACGTCGATACCAGTCAAATGACGATTTCATAGAGAGGTTGACATGAAAAAACAGTCATCTCTCTGCGATGTGCACCGGCGCTGTTCAGAACTTGGTCTCGGGATAAAGCCACCAGTCTCCTGAAAGCGTCTTAAAACTTTCGAAACCCAGGACTGGCTTATGTGGAGCTGACGTGCGACAGCCCGCTGGCTGAGCCCTTCTTGCAATAGTGCAACGATTTATGCTGCGTCTAAAGGTGTAGAATCCCAGGTAAAATGTCAAAAGAAGCGGAGATGTGTATGGATCAACGTGTGAAAGAAGAAATCCGAAAACACGTGCTTTTATAGGGGGTAAATAGGCCGCAACACGCGACGTATCAAACAGTTGATACATGTCTTTTTCCTTACTTCTTCACATCAGCCGGGATATCTTTTTAAATATTGGTGTGATTTAAATTAATTTCGTATCAATTTAAAGTTAAAACTTTAATCTTTAAAATGGTGCTACTTTTTTTGTTACTAACTTGTTAGTACACAAGATCGTGTGGAAACAACTTCATGTAAGTGATTCCATACTTTTGCTCGCGAGTGTATATTGTCAAATAAATAATTTTATTTAAGATCTATGATAACTATTAGCCTATTCTAAGTCAGTTATAGTTATTAAATAAATTGAGTTTTAAAGTGTTTAGGAAGAGACGGGCCAGCTTTCAAGGGTCTTTATCATCTAAACTCACAAACACATTAAATCTTCATCTCAAACAATGTCCAACCCCGGTCTCATATCATAGAAGGACGGGTCAGTTCGGA